AATCCTAGAAACAACATTTCAAATATCTATATCAAAATATAGTTTCAAGAAATAATTCTATAATAATCGTATTAAGAATAAAGTCCTCAATATTTACAATATATTTGTATCAAAAAATTCTGCAAATCCGTGCACCCAACCAAGAGTAACGACACCTGCAATTTTTTTGACAGCGTCTCAAAGTGGTGGAACACCACGCCTGCTTTGCAGGCTGTGGCGAACAACTGGCCCAGGCGCTGCCTTTCCAAACTTTTTGTAAGGCCCAAGGAAGTTGGACAGGCGCAGGAAAAAATTTTTCGTACGGAGGTAGCTCTGAATCTTTTTGCTTCTCCTCCGGAGAGCAAAAAAGCCCAGTACCTCGTCGCACTTGCTGAGCGCCGTCGCAAAGGAGCCCTGCAGCTCAGCAACTTCTGCGGAAACATCTTTCAATAAAACATCTATGGCTCCTGAGGAGCCTCTCTTTCTGTAAACTCCGCCTCGCTCACAAAAGCGTGGATACATGACTTTGGATGCACACTTTTCTCTCTGGCCGCCGAGGGCATCGACAAAGTTTGGGTTCGTGCGGCGAAAAGTCACGCAAAGAAACTGGAGCATCGTCATGTTGCCAAGTCTGAAGCTTAGTATTGCTGCCAGTGTCTCAGTGGAGAGAGCGCAGTGCCAGCCTTCTCTACGTAGCCCGGGCTGGTGTTTGCCACAGCTCTGGACGACGCGGCGTGACGACACTTTAGTTCTTGCCATGGGAAGCAGTTTCTCGAACATCAGATGCAGCACGCAATCACTGTCACGGGAAGATCGAGGGGAATGAAGGTCTGTGCGAACGTTCCGGAGATCCGGCTGGGGTCCAGCAAGTCTATCCCCGAATTTGGCGATTCAGCTGCGCAGCTGGACGCCCACTCTTCACGCACGTGGTCCCTGTGAAAGATGCATCATGGCCAATGCGGGTCAGCCATCTCGATGTGCCGCGACGCTCGTGTAACTGCACCGTGCTTCTGATTAACAAGCATCAGTTTGGCATGCGCTTTGGAGGCAAACTCGGGTCCTTGGACACCAGGTGCCGCCAAGCCGTGCCATAGGGTGACACGGTGATGCATTATGTACTCCTCTGGCCTGCTCACGTGATTGGAAGTATTGTCCCGATGGAGTTTCGTATGAATATAGTCCCGGAACCCTAAACCCTAAAACCCTTAGACTAATAACAGCCCCTAAACCCTAAACCCGAACCCTGAAACCAATTCTGAGGCCCACGACGGGGCCTCGCCCGAAGGGCTCACCAAAGACGAAGATGCCGTAGGCGGAGGAGATGGTGGAGGCGGCGGTGGCGGCGCGAGCCCCGGCGTCTTAGGCCACCTGACGGAGGCGCCCGCCGGACAGAATGCCCCAAAGCGCAGCGGCAAAGTCGTGTCCGGCGGGGCCTTGGGCGTCGCCGTCTCGAGGCCGAAGAGGTAGCCCTGCAGTGCCGTCTCCGGGATCAAGGTCGTTGTTCTGCGGCACGGGGAGCTCGGCCGCGACGATGGGAGCGTGCCCGGGCGGGGCGTCGTCATTGCGAATGGCGGCCTCCTGCTCCCGCCAATACTGCCTGGCCTCAGGGGCAGAAGGGCCAGGGTCGACCGAAGCCGTCGCTTACATCCTTCACTTAGTGGTTTACCGCCAAAACCCTGCGAAGCTCTTGGCTGCTTCTTGCTTCCGTTGCAGCAAGATGAAGGGTTTGACACCGTTGCAAATACATTGCCGCGCTCTCCGTGTGCAAAGCGGCAAATCGAAACACTCTCAATCGAGCTGTGGCACGAGGCAAAAAGCAGAAAGGCAGCACCTTCTGCTCAATATCTCGCAAGTTTTCAGGCGAGTCCTGGTGAATCTTGAGTTTCTGTGTCTCTTCCGGCGTTGGAAGCACATTTGTTATGAGCTCCACGAGGTCATCCGACAGTGCTAGCCGGGAAAGCTCAAGGGTTGCAAATGCTTCGCAAATGTCCTTTGGCGGTGGTTGACGGCGCAATCCGATGGCAATATTCTGAGCCCTTGTGTCTTCGAGAACCTTGACAGGGCAAGGAAGATCAGGAAGTTACCCCAGGGGCCCTACAACCGAATGCACATGATCACAAGCTCCTGGCCTTGACACCTTCTTTCCACTTCCGCTGTGGAGCACAGCGCTTGAGACTGCTCGGTGCGCAGTTGAGCAGCGATGCCAGGGCATCTGTGTCCAAGTCCATACCAGCATCCGCATCTCCGAACACAGTCTCGCGCTCGGGTTGTTTGTACTGAGGCTGCACCTCTTTGGCACAAACCCACAAACACGTTGACAAGTAAGAAGTGGCTGTGTCAAACCCTGCCCTCAAGAAGCAAAACAAGTGTAACTAAGTATATCGTATCCCAAGACCAAGTTGCCCAGTGCATTTTTTGTCCAAACGGCACCGCTCCCTTGGCGTGGCTGCCTCCCTTGGTTGAGCGCTTGCCTGAGATTTTGAATGTTGTGTGTGTGTGTGTGTGCGCATGTCTGTCTGCCTGTGTGCGCGCGCGTCTGTGTGCCTGTGGGTCTGTGCGTCTCTGTCTCTGTGTGTCGGCGTGTCTGTGTGTCTCCGTGTCTGTCTGTCTCTGTCTGTCTTGGTCTGTTGTCTCTGTCCGTGTCCCTCCTGGCCCTGTCCCTGGCCCTGGCCGTGTCCCTCTGTTGCTGTCTGGGGCCCTGGCCCTTCCCTTTCGGAGGCAGGCTGCCTTTACCCTTGGCTAACTACGCGGCTGGAATCTTCAACCCACAAGTAGTAGTAGAAGTGGTAGTGGTAGTGGTAGTGGTAGTGGTAGTGGTAGTGGTAGTGGTAGTGGTAGTGGTAGTGGTAGTAGTAGTAGTAGTAGTAGTAGTAGTAGTAGTAGTAGTAGTAGTAGTAGAATAAGAAATAGAAGTAGAAGTAGTAGTAGTAGTAGTTGTTGTTGTAGTAGCAGTAGCAGTAGCAGTAGCAGTAGCAGTAGCAGTAGCAGTAGTAGTAGCAGTAGCAGTAGCAGTAGCAGCAGCAGCAGCAGCAGCAGCAGCAGCAGTAGTAGTAGTAGTAGTAGTAGTAGTAGTAGTAGTAATGGTAGTAGTAGTAGTAGTAGTAGTAGTAGTAGTAGTAGTAGTAGTAGTAGTAATACTAGTAGTTGTTGTGTTGTGGTCATTAATGATTTGGGGCATAGGAGCGTTCGAGGCTTTGTGGGTCGAGCTTGGGCAAATGCTCTGTTTAGGCAACTTCTATTGCGGCAACCATGGCTCTTCGGCAATATGTGCATGAGACCTGCAGATTGCCGTGATGTCTTGCTTTGATAACAGCCCTGCATTGTTTGAACGCTGTGCTCGGTATCATTGCCGGGGCTGTTGCACGTTTCCTTCTTCCTTTTGCAGTTTGGTCCAGCCAGCACAATCAGAACCATGGCAACAGATGTGCACCCGAAGCTCGGTGTTCAACGGGAAAGGCAGACAATGCAACCCTTCTGCAGCTCAGCGCTGCTTCAGAGGTACTTAGAGCGACCCCTACGATCCACATTGATGTCCTATGGCTGGCCTTGCATGTTTCACCGTTGGCACGTTTAGTAAACAGCACTAGAACGGGGCTTGTGGCACCTTCAAGACTAGTTAAGGTGCTTAATGAGAGTCACAGAACGGCAAATGGAAAAACGGTGCAGCTGTGGGTGTGCGGTGGAGCGACGGAATCTCGTGGGAAGAAGGTGACGCGGAAGGCGTTTGCGGGGCGGGGGGGAGGTGGGGGGTGAGGCGGCATTCCGGGTCTACGGCGAGTGCGCTGCCGACTGATCGACTCAAGGGAAGTACATGGAAGTACCACGGGGCGGGGCGAGCTAGCCGGTAGCTGTGAGCAGTTTTATCAACGCCGACCTTGACATCCAGAACAGGGGCTGCCATTGTAAGGGGCTCGTCTTTGCCAGACCTGGGCAGGCACTGCATGGCACCCCTTTGCCTGAAGCTACATGGTCGGGACAGCTCGCTAAATCCAGACTTGAGATAAGTGTCTGCCCGGCTCCTGGAGATTCGTTCTCATTCTCCTCCTGGCAGCCAAAAGCCGAACTGAAAGTCGTGTCCTTGTCCAGCCAGCCTGTCCCTGGCCTCGTAAGCAGTCAGACGAGTTGGGCGATGACCTCAGGCCGAACGCGGCCGCGGCTCCCACGTCACGCGAATCTCATGCCCAAACCCGAGGATCATCATCAAGGAAAATCAAACCGCATCGTAAGCCTTGAGAGCGGTGCTCGTTCAGAAAATGCGAAGTTTCGCTGTACCTTACGGCAGGTCTCCGGTATCTGAACGAGGCGACTGCGCTAAACAGCGCAGAACATTTTGCTTGCAACTCGGCCGCTGCTCTCCCAAGCCGGGCTCATCGAAGGATGTCGTGGGTCCCAAGCCATCCTCCGATGAGACCGGGTGGAAGCGGAGCCCCAGCTCTTGCGCTTTAGCCTGCCGCTGCAATGGCTTTGGTAAAGCAAAGCTCCAAGCTAGCAGACAACTGAAGCAAACTGCCTGGACAAGACATCGCCTGCCACATCCACTTGCTCAGAGAGCTGCAGTGCCAGCTTCTCCACAAAAAGGAGCTGGAGAGGGTGCTGGAACTGCCTCGGGCACAAGCTGGAACATCATGGCATCACGGTCTTGCAAAGCATCACTCACGTGCGCCAGGGCCCAGGGCACGCCCAGTCAGGTTTCCAGCTGCTGCAAGACGCAGGAGCGATGGCACGTCTCCCCCGATAGTTTGCACATGTTTTGGAAAGGGGTGCTTTTGCCAGGACTGCAGGCGACAGCATGGACATGGGGTATCATTGGGCTGTCGTGCATACACTGTGCAGGTGCACAGGTTTGTGTTGACCAGCGAGGGCTATGTGTGCTGCATAAGCCAGCTGCGGCCTTAAACATGCGTACATTTTTTCGCAAGAAGTTCTACAAGCCGAAGACTGATCTTTGACAAATGTTGAAGTTTGCACCCGAAATTCTTCACGACTGTCCTAGCAAAAGTCTATATGTAAGCATTGCTATCGAGCAGCCCCACAAGACAAAAGCATACAAAAGCGCTCGATGGGAAGAAGGCGACTGTACTGAGAAGAGGGTCGAACAGTTCCAAAACTCGGGTGGACCTTTCCGCCGCGCTACAAACTAGGAATGAGGCTCTTGTGTCCAAATGGAGCAAAAGATCTGACGGACATCTTGGGTCTTCACGGAGACCCGCCGATATTTACCAGACCGTCTCTTCCGTGTTGTAGGATGCAAGGGAGGACACTTAGGCCTCACAGTCAATCTGCAAATTCATTCCCCATCCTCCAGTGTGGTCAGTGCGTCTCGCACAGACTCTGCTGCCAGATGAAGTGATCGCAAACGCATCTCCCCAGCCGCCGTCGGTGTTCAGGCGCATCCCGTGATTGCCAGCCCAGGAAGCACAAAGCACGGACTTGCTCGCGGTGACGCACTTGCTGTTGTGGCTGCTTGATCCGATGTTCACCCTCACAACTTCCCGTGCGACACCAAAGTCCTTGCAATGGATCTGCAGGTTCAAGCCCCAACCTGCCGGCAGAATGCTTCAAAAGTGCGTAAAGACTGCGGCTTAATGACTGTTAAACTTATTAGTTCATCGTTTCCTCAACTACCCAATCACGACCTCACCTTACCTGAAGCATCATTTCTACGGTATTCCGGTAGTCCCTGAATAGGCTGCGTATCCTCTTCGGCTTACTGCTTCGATTGGTTTTCCTTCCTCCCTGTATTCACCATTTCAAGGGGGTGTTTCCACCAATTGAAACATAGTTCCTTCCAGTTCCTTTCAACTCTCACCTTCATGTTTTCTCTACGACCTAGCTGGCCGTTTCAATAATAACACCAGATATTGACATGGACCTTGATTCTCTCCTCCTGCAGTACCTCTTTCGTTCGTTTCACCAAACCGTCTGGAAGATCTTACATGATCCCCAAATCCAGGCTTCTGGGTATACATAGTTTTCGCACAAATGGCGTAAAACGCTGTGGATGACGAGGCGGTGCTTTTTTGCATGCTGCTTTGGAAGCAGCCACAAAAAGGCCGTAGCATCAGAAGCTATGTAGAACCATATCTAGTCGATCGTCGGATATCAATAAGGGACTCGACCTATTCAGAGAATAGCGACAAGCCAAGTGTGACGAGAAAAGCAGGAAAGAACAAAGCAAGATCTGGTATTCTATGGTTTCGGCTTTGATGGCAATGATTTAAGTAAACTCAGATACAAAAGGAAACTTAACAACCCTAACAAAGAAACGCATACCGAGCCATTTGTAGATCGAACAATGCCTCATGCACCAGAAGCAGAAGAACAGCATTAAAGGTTGAGAATAACAGCACAAAGGCAAGTCAGCAGTTCAAAGGGAGAAACCTTTTATGATTTTAGATACAGCCACAGGATATCATCAAGCAGACACCAGGTCAACGATGCAAGAATAGGAGGCAATGACCGTAAAGCCAAAGATTCAAATGACTTTGCTAGATAAAAGGAAAGCCAACCCTACCGTGTTATTGCCACGGTGTTCTACATGTTGAAACATGTACGCAAGCGAAGAGGGTTAGCAAGACGAAAAACACTCAGCAACAAGCGAAATTGAAAAGCGAACCCAATGACCATTGGCTGTTTCCGATACACATTACAAGCGGATCCGAAACCACGTAAGAAAGACTTTAGCTGGTAAGTCTGAAACGTGCTTAAAGCCGATGTTCGAGAACCGCTCTTGATGAGACGCATAACTGTTGACTTCTCGCTTGAAAGCTAAGATGATGCCATGATGCAGTATACAGTTGGTACTAAGGTACTAGTCAGAAGCTAGAGGCAAAAGTCACAGAAGTCTTTGAAAGCTTCGAGGAAATCCTCCCCACTGCCAGATGGGGCTTTAATAATTCAAGTTTTGAGCAGCTACTGAAACACAACAAACCTTTCGGTATCAAGAGAAATCGAATAAAACTAAAGCAGGCAGAGCCAACGATTCCGGAAAGGAAATTTCGGCCAGAACTAAATGTGAAACTGGTTTTAGCATTTAGGGGGCAGAACTTGGGAAAGATATTGCTAAGCACTGTGTGCTGAAATTTTAGGAATCGGCAACAACAAAGGTGTGGCTCGACAGTCCTGCAAGTTCAACTGCGAATAAGTGGAGGAGGACAAAAAAGGGCGGGAAAACACAACGAAGCAGAAGATAATGCACAACGCAATTAAGGGAAACGCTTGACATGAAACGAAGGAGGCTGGCGAGTGGGTTGAAGACCGATGCATGCGTAAGGCTTGATGCCACTAGCCGCTAGCCCACAGTCCCTAAACAACCCTATGTACTATTTGTCCCCCGCGCACTACTCTTCCGAACAGCCTCCCAGCTTGAACAGCACACAACCACCCCGGCCGGGCACCTTGGTGATGATCAA